TGTATTTATTGAAAACAATCCATTTATTTGTGGATCCACCCAGTTCAAACTCATGTTGGTCAATTTTACTTTTAAAAATTATGGTTGCCCTGGCTGGTGTGGCTCAATTGATTACCGAAGGGTTGCTGGTTCTATTCACTATCAGGGCACATATCCAGGTTGAGGGTTCTACCCCTGGTTGGGGTGCATACAGGAGGCATCTGATCAATGTTTCTCCCACATCGATGTTTCTTTCTCCCTCTCTCTCTAGAATCAATGAAAAACATATCCTCAGGTGAGAATTAAAAGTTGTAGTCAAATTATAGTTACTATTTTGTACCACTATAAAAGAACGTGATTATTGTATAGCTACATAGTTTTCCATTGCATAGTAGTACCAAAATCTATTTTAGAATGCTTTTGCTGGATTGAGTTTGCTTCCAGCTTTCACTTTTATTAAATATGCCTAAAGAACACCAGGGAGTATACTTTTTATACATATTTCTGATTATGCCTTTAGGATAAATTTCTAAGAGAGGAATTCCTCTTTTATTAAAAAGAACATTTTATTTCATTAAAAAGAACATTTTATTTTTCCTCTGTATATATTTCCAAAGTCCTAGTGATGTTTATAACTTGCAAAAAGTAATATATATATTCATATTGTAAAACTTAGAAGAACCACAGAGGTATACTAACCAATGTGATGTGTATCCTTCCAAGTTTTTTTCTATGCTAGTTCAAGTTCCCCCACCACTTCTGTGTCCATGTCCATTGGTTATGCTAATATGCATGCATACAAGTCCTTTGGTTGATCTCTTAACTTCTCCTCCACCACCCACCCCCACCTTCTCTCTGAAGTTGGACAGTCTGATCAGTGTTTCTTAGTCTCTGGATATATTTTTGTTCATTTGTTTATGTTGTTCACTATATCCCACATATGAGTGAGATCATGTGATATTTTTCTTTCTCCAGCTGGCTTATTTTGCTTAGCATAATGTTCTCCAGGTCCTTCCATGATGTTGCAAATGGCAAAAATTCCTTATTTTTTATAGCAGCATGTAGATGTACCATGCTTTTTAATCCACTCATCTGCTGATATGCACATTGTTTCCAAATCTTAGCTATGGTAAATTGTGCTGCTATGAACATACGGGTTCATGTGTGACCTTTCTGATTGGAGTTTCTGGTTTCTTTGGATATTTTCCCAGAAGTGGGATTACAGGATCGAATGGGAGTTCCATTTTTAACTTTTTGAGAAATCTCTATACTGTTCTCCACAGTGGCTGCACCCATCTGCATTCCCACCAGCAGTGCTTTCGAGGGTTCCTTTTCCTCTACATCCTCTCCAGCACTTGTTGTTTGCTGATGATAGCCATTCTGACAGGTGTGAGATGGTTTGATTAGTGACTTTGATCGTGTTTTCATATGTCTCTTGGCCTTTGATATGTCCTCTTTGGAAAGGGGCTTTTTTTTTTTTTTATTGGATTGTTTATCTTCCTTTTGTTAAGTTGAATGAGTTCTCTGTAAATTTTGGAGATTAAATCCTTACCTGAGATAGTACTGGCAAATATGTTCTCTCATGCATTGGGCTTGTTGTTTTGTTGATGGTTTCTTTTCTTTTGCTGTGCAGAAGTTTTTTATTTTGATGTAGTCCCATTTGTTTATTTTCTTTTTAGTATCCATAGCCCTATGAGCTGTATCTGTAAAGATATTGCTATGACATATGTCTGCTATTTTGCTGCCTATGGAGTCAAGATTTTTGTGTTTTCCCATCTTACATTTAAGTCCTTTATCCATTTTTAGTTTTTTGTTTTTTTGTGTGTGTCTGTTGTGTGTGTGTATGGTGTAAGTTGATGGTCTAGTCTCATTTTTTTTGCATGTATCTGACCAATTTTCCCAGCACCATTTGTTGAAGAGACTGTCTTGACTCCATTGTATGCTCTTGCCTCCTTTTTTTTTAACCTTAGAATAGACTTGCATTTTTATTTTATTTTACTCATTTAACGAACATTTATCGATATTTTTTATTTAAATTCTTTATTGTTTAATGTATTACATATGTCTCCTCTTCCCCCCATCGATTTCTCCCCAGCTTCCCAGTTATTCTTTTCAAAATTGTCTCCATTTTCTTGTGCATGTAGGCTTCTAGATAAACTTTCGAGTCAACAAGTAGCAACAAAAAGGAGGATTTTCATTATAATTACATTGCATAGAAGATTACTTGAAAAAAGTAAACACTTTATAATATTAAGCCTTCCCACCCAGGTACATGGTATAACTCTTCATTGATTGGGCTTGTATATACATTTTTAAGCTTTTGGGAAAGTTTTCTTAGTGGCATTATACAGACCACTTCTTCCTCCCCTTTTTTATTTTCATGAACTATTCAATTCCAAAGCTTTTAGTGAGGAGAGCAAAGTAGACATTTGTCCTGGAGTCCGTGTGCATTGAAGGAGCTGTCATGGCCTAGAGCAAGGTGTGAAGCCTGAAAAGGGTGGAAAGGCATCTGCATAGGACAACGGTGCCGTGAGGGGTGAGGAAGCTGGCCAGGTGCAGGAAGCAAGAACTGGACTTCAGAGGGAGGGCAATCTGGCAAGTGGTAACAGATAGAATTGGGAGAGAAAAGCATCCCACAGAGAGGTAGCCAGGTATGTGGTGTGGCAGCCTGAGCCGGGTGAGCAGGGCATCCACACAGCAGCGGGAGAATTGAGGAGAAACCCTCTGGGGAAAGTCAGAGCCTTACTGAAGCGAGGAGGGCTTCCACGCACGGGCAAGTGTGACCAAGGCTCCCATGTGCGAGGGCTTCCCACTCAGACGGTGAGTGGAGAAAGGTGTCCGTGTTTGGGGCATGGCCCAGAGCAGGGAGCCATATGTGAGCAGATAAGGACACCTGCGTGTGTGTGAGAGGCAGATCACATCAGGTGTCAGAGCACAAGCAGGCGAGGAAAACCAATAAAAGTCCGAGAAACTGGACCTAACTAAACACAATATACGATGCTGAATTGGATCCTTTCCCAATCAGAATATTATTGGGCCAACTGGGAAAACTTCATAGGAACAGAAGTTTCCATTTTCAGTGTACAGTCTGTCCTGTGATTAAAATGAAATTATTTAAGATTACGTCGTCATGTAACAATAATTAAACTTATTACCTATCTCGCAGTGTCTCTTCTATACTAATGCTGTAATGAAGTGATGGGGACTGGGCTGTGTTGCAAAGAACGCCATTGTTTGTTGTATTAAAAAAAATCTACATAGTGTTTGTCCAAATAAATCAGACTTTGTTTTTCTTGCCGAAGGTTAATCTGAGTAAATTTGGGGGGAAAGGGCAGCATATACTTATTATACATGGCTAATATTTAAATTGCATTCTTCACTGAGAACTTTATCCCTGGAGTTTCTGATCCAGAGCATAGTCAGCGGGACCCAGGCCCAAACCCTGACTCTCACTTACTAACTCCATGACTTGGGACAGCACAGGGCCTGGCACAGAGAGAGTATCAGTAAATATTGTATGAGTGATGTATGAAGCTATTAAGTGTATGAGATTTCGTTTCCTTATTTGTAACATAGTTACTTAAAGCTTACAGATAATTGACATAACTCTTGGCATATAGTAAATAATGAGTTAGTGCTAGATATAATAATAATACATTTTATACTAGAATCCTTTCATTAATATCAAGTGAGTCCCAGAAAATACACGTTATCTCAGTTTATGTGGATGACGAGAGAAATATAACTCCATGACTCAGTTGCCACAGATAGCTTTTCTAGCGCCGGAATAAAGCAAATGTGAGACATACTGAAGGAGAGAATAAGGAAGTACGTAGAATTGAGCTTGGATTGGAAATGTAAAAAGGACACTTTTGATTGGTACAAAGGCCATGGGAGAGGTCTCTGGCTCAGTGTGGGGAAGGTGTGGTGTGAGTGTCCTGGGCGTGGCAGATGCTGGGACAGCAGAGGCCGGTGGCCAGGAGTTCCACAGTGGGAGGCATGAAAGTTGAGGCAAGTTAGGCAATTTGCAGGTCACCTTGCTAGTTGAATTAACTTTTCATTTTGCTATTTCTGAGCCTTTAGTTCCTTGTATGAATATATAAGCATTGTAGAGAAAGTCAGAACCATTAGACATGAAGTACTAGCTGGCATTGTTTTTACTTTGAGGTGGTCTACCTTATCTGTTTGTTTTTAGCTAAAGATCACAAATTGAACAGTTTAATCCTGTTTTTAGTACAATAGATCACCGAGTATGAGGAAGGGCCCACTAATGGACTTGTCTCTTTGGCAACCAATACTTAGGTGGTTACATGGAAGAAAACCAGTTTTCATCTAAAGCAGTTTGGCAATTGCAACTTTTTCTGCTCCTTTTTTCTGAAATGATGTGAGCTTCTCCGGAGTATCCCTCTACCTTCCCCTAATATTTCACTCCCTTGACCTTGAATTCTGATTCTAAGCTAGCTGATGGGTAAAGTTTCAGATATCTCTCTCTTTATTAATTTGTGAGAAGAATTAAAGAACTATGCTATCACTATTTAATTCAAGGCTGCCCAGGATGGCACATAAGACATTTGAGACTAGATAGCACAGGGAAATAACAGCTCTTCATATGCTGAGGGTAAGGAGAGAGGAAGTTGGCTTATTTTTGCTGTTGTTGTTAATAGAAATGCTGTTGTTTTTCCAGTGAAAATTTTAGATAGAGAATTCTTTATTTCTCTGCATTCATCCCCCATTCCCCCCCTTTTTTTTAATTTATTGGAATGCCTTCATTAGTGCATCAATTAGTATATATGGCAAAATTGACGGAATTAAATGCAAGGTTGCTGCATTGATTTCATGCTAGAACTATTGTTCTCTATTATATTTATCCTAATATACGTGTACTTGATAGACATTTCAGATTTTGAAAGTGTCATCATCTCTTTGGAGTTTTCTGTTATTTAGCATGATCCCCAGACATAATTTTCTAAAGCAGGGAGTGGCAAATTATTTTAATACCTTTTGTTTTTTTCTGTTTCTAGCCTATTCTACTAAGCTCAACAAATTTCCTGTATTTAATATTAATGATGACTTGAATGATCTGTGCACCAGTGCAGTAAGCCCAAATACTACCAAAGCCACGCGGTATGCCCTGAATGTGTGGCGCTACTGGTGCATGACCAATGGGCTCAAAGACCACACGGACATCACCAAGGTAAGGAACGCTTGCGTTTACTTCTCTGGGCCAACTTTCCTGAGCCTCCACGTGCCAGGCACTGTGCTGAGCAGGGTGACAAACACAGAATAGCTGCTTTCTGCCTGGAGAAACTTTGAAAGAACATAAAATAGAATGAAAAATGTCTGCAGTACAAAGCAGAATTTAATAAGTGTTTTATGAATGTATAGATCAGAAATCAGTTCTTTCCTCCCCGCCCCCCCCCCAAAATCAGTTAGATAAATTCATTTCAACATGGTGACACTAGTAAAAGCATTGGTAGTTACACTGTATTAATGGTGGAGAGGTAGAATTTCAATAGGATTGAATAAAAACAGATGTCTTCTGGGTAAGATTTGGAGGATTAGACTCACTTGCCTATAGCAGAGGCTTCATACATGGAAATAATGGTCTATAAAGCCAGATTTTGATAACTCTAGCTACACTCTTGTGGCCATTGGGAAATCATTGAAGTTCTGTTTTGCTTTTGTTTGAAAGGAGAGATTTTATTTGAAGGATTATTGCAGGGGCTATGGGGAAGGGACTATTGTAATAGGGAGAATTCTCTCACCCTAAGAGTCTTAGGTGTCAAGGTTTAGGCAAAAGGGAAACCATTGAAGGTTTTTAAGTGGGGAGAAACATAATGAGAGTGCTACTGTAGAGAAATTAATTGGAAGTGATGAACAAAAATGTAGTTCATATATTTGGTCCTTATTTTCTTTTCCCCAATGGTAAAATGAGTTCTGAAAATCTCTTCCAACTTGAAATGTTTGGAGTTTGTGAATGGAAGGAAAAATCCTTGGATAGGAAGAGACAGAAGACAAAGATGTTGCATTTCTATTTGGATCTATTGAGTGTACATCAGACAGATGTCCAGATGGACATGTCCAATAAGCAGTTGGGAATCTGGGATTTCCAACAGGGGGAAATGCTAAATCTAGAAGGGTAGACTTAAAGGTCTTGCAAATAGAGGTTATAGTTGAAGGGCAAGTTTGGGTGATGGTGGACCTTGAAGTCTGAAAGGTTGGCAACCACTGATGTAGGGCACCAACAAGAGAAGAATAGGAAATCCAGGTTTCTGCTTATGACAGCCTGGTGCATTGGACACAGTGGGGGCCTTCCTGCTGTACCTGCAGAAAAACAAGGCCCATCACACGGCCAACAAAAGGGACAGCTGAGGGTGGAGCAGTGAGCAGTGAGCACATCTGAAAGGCAGGTCTCTGCCTGAGCACATATGTTGACAACATTATTAAGGAAGAGAAGAGACAGGTAGGTGAACTGAAGAATCCTTCATTGAAGAGAGGATCCTGAAAAGGGCTTGAGAGGTTCTAGGTGAGTAGCAGGCCCTGGCTCCTCACAGGGTTACAGGGTAACCATCTTTGAAGGGAAATGTTCCTTCAAAGTAGATGCTCAGGTTTGTTTGTTTTTGCAGATTAAAACCAACTAAATATGTGCTCATTTTTAAAAAAAAAATCACAAGTCACTCAAGGAAAACAAACAACAGATTTAGACCTCCAGGATTTTAGATGATAGATTGTAGACTAAGAATGTATGAAATGTTTATAGAAATGAAGAGAATTACAGTTGACCCTTGAACAACATCGGGTTAGGGTGCTGACCCCTGCAGAGTTGAAATCTGCATATGTGGATTCCAACTGTGGATCGAAAATATTGTATAGAAATGTACAAGCAATAACAAACTAATCAAAATGAGCAGATTTGAAAACAACTGGTAATTTCCACTTGCAGTCAGAAGGGAATGAAAAGATCCAGATTTATCTTCCTGCGGCGACAATTAGAAAAACGGGGCACATTGCATGAAACAGCCATTTTCAGACATGACAGGTAGCACAGGACTTGATCCCTAAGAGAAAGGTAACAAATGAGATGAGCGCTACCAGGTCTCAGGTTTTCTTCCTGGAGGCAGTTTCTGAGCTGCAATAAAGGTAGGGAAACCCAAGCAGAGCCTGGGAATAAATTTTGTTGAGTTGAGAGGAGACAGAAATCAGGGTTTGGGGAGGCCAAAGACATGAGGATACTAGAAAGAAGTCCCAACACCCATTGACACGTATGGCAAACCCAGAATTCAACAATTTCTAGCATCCAATCAAACATTACCACTCATAGGAAGAAGTGGGAACATGTGACCCATACCTGGGAGAAAAATCAGTTCAGTCTTTCACTTCTAGCCAATTTGGAGAGCCAGATTTATCCGCCTGCCTGAAACAACCAAAATACAGACATGGATTTTAGAATTAGCAGACAAGGGCATTGAACAGTTATTGTAAAGAAGATAAGCAAATGGCCTGTAAGCACGTGAAAAGATGCTCAGCTTCATTAGAGATCAGGGATATAAATGCAAGTCAGAGCACATGAGTAGAAAGGAAGGACTGGAATTTTAAAAAGACACAACGCATGCTAACGTGTGTTGATGAGGATGTAGAGAAACTGAATCTTCTTATGCTTCTGGTGGGAATGTAAAATAATGCAGCCTCTTTGGAAACAGTCTCAAAGTTCCCCAAAAGTTAAATATATAGTTACTCTGTCACCCAGCAATTCCACTCCCAGGCAAATACCCAAAATATGAAAAACATATCTAATACAAAAAAGTGTACACAAATATTCATTATAGCATTATTTACAATAGCCAAAATGTAGAAACAACCCAAAAGTCAGGTGAATGAATAAACAAAATGTGGCATATCTATACAATGGAATTTTATTTAGCAGTAAAAAGAAGTGGAGTACTAATACATGCTACAATGTGGATGAACCTTGAAAATGTTACGCTAAGTGAAATAAGTCAGACACAAAAGGATAAATATGTATGATTCCATTTATGTAAGGCGCCTGGAATAGGTAAGTTCATAGAGACAGAAAGTAGAATGGAGACTACAAAGGGCTGGAGGGAGGAGGAGAAGTGGGGTTATTGTTTAATGATAATGTAACAATGTCTAATTGTAATAAATAAAAGGTCTGGAAATGAATAGTGGTGATGGTTATACAACATTGTCAGTGTACTTAATGCCACTGAATTTTACATTTTTAAATGTTTAAAATTAAACACACACACACACAACACACACACACATATATATTATGACAATTAAGTAAATAAATAAAATGTAACTTTCACCTTTAAATTCTCAGAGATCCCCATTACCGGTTCTTCATCCTCACTAACCTTAACTTTTTCTAGACCAGAGGTCAGTGAGGTGATTATGAAGACAGTTGTCTATTACTGGGTAACTTTCTATTTCCATTCAGGAATCCATGAAAAGAGTTTCATTTCTCCATACCCTCAATAGCTTAGATAATATATGCATCCCAGGTGACGAAAACGTTCAGTAGAGTGCACCTGCCACCACTTCTCTAGGTACTAGTGCTTCTTCATTCCCCCTGTGTTGTCTGGAAGAATATGGGTGAAGAAGATGATATATTTCAGTCCTCTGTAATCTACTCACATGGGTCACTGAAATATTTTTAATAATTAATGCTTAAGAAAGAGGTCAATATCTTAGAGAATTTATCCAATATTTAGTTAAAAGAAAGAACTGAGGCATCCCTAGCCCATATTTTTTAATCTCACTTTCTTGGTCTCAATGCAAGATATTTTTATTCTAGATGTGTCTTAAAGATAGATGTAACTGGCAGCAGACAAAGTAGGTAACGCCTCTTGATCATGATTAGGCAGCTGGTGAGTCTTAAATTTGTTTGTTTAATAAAGAAAGCAAGCCCTAACCGATTTGGCTCAGTGGATAGAGTATTGGCCTGCAGACTCAAGGGTCCCAGGTTCAATTCTAGTCAAGGGCATGTACCCAGTGGGGGTGTGCAGGAGGCAGCTGATTGGGTTTTTTTTTTGTTTTTGTTTTTGTTTTTTTCTGCTGATAATGAGAGTTGGTCTCTTGCCAATTACCTGAAGTCATCAGATGTAAACCAAATACATTTTTCTTATCTGTGGAACAAATATTGATATCTAAACCCTATGCATCATTGATCCAGAGACACTTCCAAACCTATCCTGATAAATTCAAGTGACAATTCAAAGATTATTAACCTGCTCTGCCAACTGGTCATATCAGTCGTCTCTCCCTACAGCACTCTGTTAGGGGCCAGCAGTACCAAATATTATGTGCAGATATTAAGGAAATTAATGTTGGAATGATTCAGAGTTTGATAAGTTTAGTTCAGGAATTCTTTAGAGAGGATGGTTGCATTTTTTTAAAAACAATATTAACATGTTACTTTGATTGTAAAAATGAATTATTAAATCTCCAATGCATCTATTAACAAGAAGTTGATGGGGGTTTTTTAATCTTTATTTTTGAAAGTATTACATATGTCCTCTTTCTCTCCCATTGACCCCTTGTAAGCTGCCCCTACCCCAGGCCGCCATCCCTCTATTGTCTGTGTCCATGGGTTATGCATGTATGCATACAAGTTCTTTGGTTGATCTCTTCCCACCCACCCACCCTGAATGGTTGAATTTTATTGAAGGGGTGGGAAGAAAGGGATTTTCTAGAAAAGAGAAGAAAAGACTTTCCAGAGAGGAATAGTGAAAGTTATAAAGGCCAATAGTAATGATATCATGTGTGTGTGTACATGTTCATTACTATTTATAAAGGCTTTCAAGTCCACTTCTTTAAGCATTGTAGTAATCCTTTGAGGGGGTGTGAATTATCCTGTCCCATTTTACAGCTTGGAACACTGAGGTTTAAAGAGGTAAAATGGAGCCAAGTATGGAACCTAGAGCTTGAAGTCCACTGTTCTTTCCACTATATCGTGCACCCCCTCTTTAGAGGTCTTGTCTGCCATACCGCCCCTCATGAGGATTGGGAGCAGGAAGGAGGGATCTGGCCGTGCGGTGTCTTCAAATGTGTAACCTCCGTGTCTGTCTTATTTGAGATCCCTGCAGCGAAGTTGAACGAGCTGCTCGAGAACTTTTATGTCACCGTGAAGAAGAGCGACGGCTCGGACTTCCTGGCCACCTCGCTCCACGCCATCCGCCGGGGCCTGGACCGCATCCTGAAGAACGCGGGCGTGGGCTTCTCCATCACCAGCAGCACCTTCAGTTCGTCCACCAAGAAACTCAAGGAGAAGCTGTGGGTCCTGAGCAAGGCAGGGATGTCAGGCGCCCGTTCCCGCAACATCATCTACTTCTCCCTCTCCGACGAGGAGGAGATGTGGCAGGCGGGGTGCCTCGGGGACGACAGCCCCATCACTCTCCTGTCCACCGTGGTCAAGTACAACAGCCAATACCTGAACATGCGGACCCTGCAGGAGCACGCGGACCTGATGTACGGTGACATCGAGCTGCTCAAAGACGCACAGAACCAGCCCTATTTTGCCCGGACGGACAGCGTCAAGCGGGAGAGCCGGAGCGCTTCCACGCGCATATGCCACGGGAAGATCTACCACGAGCACTCCCGGGGGCACAAGCAGTGCCCGTACTGCCTGCTCTACAAGTACATGTACATCCACCGGCCGCCCACCCAGATGGAGGCCAAGTCCCCCTTCTACCTTACCGCCAGGAAGGAGGCCGTGGACGTGGGCAGCGTGTGGTACGAGGAGCAGAGGATGGGGCTTCGGTCCCTCCGGGGAATTGTCCCCAACTTAGCCAAGAAGGTCAAGCTGGAAAACTGTGAGAACTTCACCTTCGTCTCCTTCACTCAGGTCTCCAGGAGGCTCGGCTCCCACAGCTGCTGCCAGTGAGCCGGCCCCGGGGCCCAGGCCACGGCCCTGAGGCAGGCGGCCAGGGACGACCGTGACCTCACGGCCGGACCGGCCTCTGTCAGTCAGTGTGACCTGCTGTTTCTTTGACTTTGGACTTTTTCACGGAAAGTACATGATTCTGAATGCTTAGGATGTTTCATTCAAATGGGTGTCACCTTTGTTAAATTATGGAATCTAACACAATGTGTAATTGCTACATACACAGGAGCAAGGAAGTTCATTTTTTTCTAGTGCCTTTTTAGCACAGATTTTCTTAAAAAAAAAAAAAAACAGGAAGAAAACTTTAGTGATTTTTTTCCCCCCAAAAATCCCAGTAGCCTAGTAGCTTTAGAATGTTTTGAAGAGTACATACACTTGGTTGAATTACATTCGCAAAAGGAACCAGAAAGAGAGAGGCAGACATTCACTGTTTCCAGAAGAAACATTGCACTTGACACTCCTCTTTAGAGGGTGCTGATGGGTAACCGAGTTCTGCAGATTAAGCAGCCTTGCGTGGTGGAAGGTGGTGGAGACACACTCGGCGAAGGCAGTTTCCTGGGAAAAGATGAATGTGCCAGAAGCTGCTTGTGGGAGCAAAGTTTCCAGTACACTAGGCGGCGTGCACCGTGAGGGAATCGCCAGGAAAAGAAGTGGCTTGGAAGAGCGATCTGTGATCAAAATGTGAAAACCTCCTGAAGCAGAAGTGCCTAAGTCCTGTTTCTCAGCACCACGGGAAAGCTCTTTTCGTTTGAATCTTTATTTTAGAGTTTTGTTTTGTTTTGTTTTTAATCCTTTAATCTGTTCTTTGTGTCATACCGTTGTTCTGTCAGCGCACAGCCCTGGATCTGTAAAAAAACTAAAGGTAATTTTGAGGCTGAGCCTGGAAAACCCAACCAAACTACCCTGTTTCCCCGAAAATAAGACCTAGTGCACGGAAAGATAAGACATCCCCTGAAAATAAGACCTAGCGCAACTTTGGGAGAAAAAATTAATATAAGACACTGACTTATTTTTGGGGAAACAGGGTAGTTGCAAAGGGGACAAATTGAGAAACGTGTTTATTAAAGTGCTTTGAAATATTTTGGTCAAAGTATGACTTTTTCAGCCACAGCAGATAACCACCCTTTTAGGTTGGCACCCCTGTGGGGGACATAGTGCTATAGGCAGCCGACCAGGTACGCAAACCCAGCAGCAGTCAGGACCTTGTTGTAAAAATCCAAGCACGATGATAGCTTTTTAGTTTAAAACCATTTCACTCGGGTAACATCCAACCTGACCCCTTGTGATGGAAACATCAGCAGAGTTTTCTAATAACGACTCCAGATGAGAAGTAGAAAAGGAGCCCCAAGAGTGCTAATTAATAATAATAATTTCATGGGATCTCTATTTTGTATCTGAGGGTAAGACTGCTACAGCTTTGTACCATTGTGTTCCTTGTGGACGCTTTCTAATTCAAAATTAAAATTCCAGTGTAAGTTGGAATAGCAGGAGTCCTAAAATCAGCCCTATTCCTTTTTTTTTCCAAAAATATTAGTTTAATTAATTGTTTTAAAAAACCCTTCATTGGTCTCTGAAATAGGTAATGCTTCCTTTCCCAGAGAAGACTCAACCAATGCTGCCTTAACGGTTCATGTTGTTCCCTCTGTAGTTCCTGCACATTTGTAATGTTGTTAACTCGTTGCTCTTTCCTGAATACAGTTTCATTTTGGTATGTCTCCATCTGTATCTGAATAGCAGGTAACGTTTAAACCTCAGTGTTATGACGCGGTAGTACAAACTGTTCTAGTATGGTTTTCTTTTCTTTTTTTCTTTTTTTTTAATTTATTTTTACCTAGTATGGTTTTCTTATAGTGATCTTAGGGTTCTGATTAAAAAGAGACACGAAGCATCAGGTACAGTTTCCTTTTGTTTGCTAAGCACCCAAAGGATATTTTGTTTGTGGAAAGCAGATGGTCATTTCTTTTTTTCTTGTCAGTTCTGCACTTCAACATAGAACCCGTGTGAATTATTTGTCAGCGCCTGCAGCCTCATTAAGTAAAATCTCCATTTGTATTTTAAATAGATTCAAAAAGAAATTGCCATTAGAATCACTGGGACCTTTTCAGGTTTTACGTTCCCAGAAGTAGCAATAACTGATCCAGAGGTTGAAATCTTTCTGTTGACCGTGGTTTTTCATCAGCTGAATAGCTATCTCCGCCTCAGATTTGTTGCTTATTACCCATTTGGTGCCGTGTAAATCCCCAGAGTTCTGAAGGGTGTGATTATAACAAACAAACAAAATCAGGAGGTGGAATCGTCAGTGATAGCCGATGGAATGAAAGAATTGCCTGAGCATCTTGGATGCCGTTTGGGATATGACGCGCCTCCCTGGGGAATAGGAGTGAGAAAGAAAACGCATTTATCAAGTGCTGTTCTGTGCCACCTGTTGTACCGAGTGCTTTGTCTGCTTGGTAACGGTGTGGAGCGGTGACTGTGCGCACACACACACACTTTACATCTATATGTGGTAACGGCTAGGAAACCTAAAATGGTAAAGCACCTATCCGCCTACTGGTATAGAGGACCTGAAGGGGGCAGGGTAGCTAGTTCTAAGACGGTGGTTCTCTTTCCAGCCCTCTCTACACCATACCCACTGGGGATGCCATGCTTTTCTGCTCTCCTCCTGAGCCAGGAACAAGGGGAATCCCAAGAGAAGGAAGTGGGGGAAGTTAAGAGTATTTCTCTCCCCCCTCCCGCCTTTATTTGTTTTTGTTTGTGTGTTTGTTGTTGCTCAAAAGTGGGAATGAATATCAGGAATTTGCAAGTTCACCCCTGGCTCTCTGTCCGGGATGGTGGTGCTGTGGGTGTGACAAGAGACCTACAGAGTCCCTTGGGTGAGCTCTCGCCCTCCGCACCTCTGCATCTGCTCCAAAATGAGCCCTGCTTCCTCAGCACCTCGTCCCAGAACCCATTGGGTCTCCCCTGGGAAGTTTATTCTGCCAGAGATAATAGGGCGTCAGCTTGAAGGGTACGAGTCAATGAAATAGAAAGCGTTTAGCACAGCCCTAGGCACAAAGTAAGCATGCAATAAATATTAGCTATTTCAGTTACAGCTTTTGATAATAGTGATAACTATTATTATTCAACTGATCTGTATTTACCGCTTATTTCTTCCATTCTGGAGATTCTCTCCTTCAAACTGTTGAACTTGAAGAAGCAACCAAACCTTGTAATCTGGTCGCATTTATGCCCATCAATTCTACCTCCAACACAGCCACGCCTGATACCTCAGATAATGAGCAAAAACTAAGTGAAGAATGGAGAAATGTTAAGGGGCTTTTTATAAAGACAGGTTTTCCATGTTTCGTGTGTCTGCAAAGTTAACCAAAGTTGTGAAAGAAGGGGTCTCCTTGGTCATGTGGCATTTTCCTGCCTGGCTTGGATTATATGTAGGCTGTGTTCCTCTTCCTGACTGATTAAACGGTGTTTGAAGAAATGTGGGATACTGTCACCTTGATTTTGATTTTGATTCAGCCTTAATAAAAGCATCAAGCACCACTCCACTCTCTCAGCGTGTTCTTAGGGAGAATCTGGACAAGATAATCCCCTCGAGGAAGCGGGAGCCTCTTGTAGTAAGAAGATGACTGGGAGCCCCTTCACTGCTCACCTGCGAAGGCTGGTCTCCCTCTCCTCAGCGAGAAAGTGGGCTCATTGGAGTGGATCATCCCCACAGTGAATGCTACCCTCCTGCAATTCTGCAAAACCCTGTCGGTAGGAAGGGGCAAAACTAGGAAGCAAAATTTCTAATTCCTCAAGATCATAGCATGAATCTTCTAAGTGAGTGCTTCTCACTAGACTGAAATGCTTTCTGTAGGAATAACGGTTTTCTTGAATTTTCATGTTTCACAACTTCTAAAATTATTTTGCTATCTTTAGGCAGCACGATGTTGATTATTTTTCGGTTTAGGCTAACACTGACCACATGCTACTACTCAAATAAAGTAAACCATGTTTATTATGCTTAACCCAGCATGCATCACTGTGCTTTTATTGAAATCTGGGTTGCTAAACAGTTTCTAGCTACCGTGTTTCCCTGAAAATAAGACATCCCCTGAAAATAAGACCTAGCGCAACTTTGGGAGAGAAAATTAATATAAGACACCCTTATTTGGGGGGAAACAGGGTAGTAACCAGTTGCGTTGGCAGGGCTTGTCCTGCAGCATTGCAGCAGACTCCTCCCGATGGAGGGAATCTTTCTGGACAGAGTCCAAAGGCAGCCTTTCCCAGGGTCTCCCCTGCCTGGCTGCGACTGACTAACGTCTGTTCCTTTCAACTCCTCAAATAAAAAACACGCGGCTTGTACTTAATATTTTCTGTGTGGCTGTATGTTCCCAATGAGAGCCACAAAACTGTCCGACCGTTTGCACTGTTCTGGATATGTTTTGTGGTGCGTGTGCCTGAGTTTTGTTTGGGTTTGTTTTTTAATGTAGAAGAGGGTACTCCTAATTTCTTAACACTGGAAACATCATTTTAAATGATACAGGAAATGGTCAGTTACTTGAATGATTTTATTGAACCATTTTCAGCTTTTTCTTTCTTCCCCGGTGAATCCTGCCCGGGCACACACATGCATGTGGACCTGGAGCACACGTGCAGGGGAGCACGTGTAGCGTCTGTTTCCTGTCACAGTGTCCGAGTTGGAAGGAATTTTCTTGTTCCTCTAATCCAGCTCCTCGTTGGTAGTCTAGTCGAGTCTGTTAACAATTTGCAAGGTTCTGGGGTTTTTTTAAGTTGTTGTTATTGTTTGGTTTGGTTTATGTATATTGCAGCTTGACTGTTTAACTCAGATTTTTTAAAATAAAAAAATGTTAATGTATATTTTATGTCTGTTTTATTAAAATAACTTAGTTTAACTTCACCAGCCAGTATGCATGGTTTCTGAGTGTTTGTTGTTTTCGTATCACATTCCTGGAAGTAGTGTTTTCCTTTGTAATTTGGAAACTGTTAGGACATCTTGAGCA